TTATTATGTTATCATTATAATTCGTCGTTAAATTCAGTTTATTTCATTAAGTAGTGTTTCTAACACTATATTGTCAATTTATTTAGCTTTTCTGGTTAATTATTCAGTCACAGTGAGATTGCATATTGGTTCTGAAAAATCCATCTAGGATCAACTAATGAAGCATTGTATTGGTTTGCCACACTATTTGAGTTCAACCATTCATATACACCTATTTCGTTTTCAATAAACGTTGTCATTGCCAAAAGCAGCATGCAATAAGCGAAAAGTGATAGAAGATAGCCCTTTCCAAGATCCAAGAATAGCTGGAATAACTTGTGTTTCTGCTTCTTATTCTCGTCAAGAACATGGACCTTAGTGTTGAGACTGATTCAATGTTATATGTATTCAATGAAACCATTTGCATGTCGGAATGACCTATCGCTTATCGCCTTTGGCGATGACCTTTTTTTAAATAGGTGTATGTAATTTATTAGCCAATCACAGTTCAATTATCCAATTCAGTTATCCATTTGAATGCTAAACTGCTGGCTATTGGCAAAATAATGCAAAATCCAAGCACAGGCGTAAACGAAACTTTTAGAATTTTCGGTACAAAATTTTAGTCCCGAGAAAAAAAAATCGAAAACTCAACCAGAAAAATAAAAAAAAAACATCTTTCTAAATCAACTACGCCAATGAAATGTAGGACATTACTACCCGCAAATAAAAAACAAAATCACGACTTTATATTATCGCTCCACGTGACTTCGTCGCATTAAAACCTGACATAATCACTTTGAATTGCTGCTTATCACAACTGCTCTTCTTAGTAAAAGGTGTGAATATAAAAGAAGAAAATTGTCCTAAAAAAGGGGTTTGTCTGAACGGAATGATCATTTATTTCTGTTAACCTCTCTAGTCTTCTCTCCTATTCTCGGCTTCTCAACTACAGACCTAACTATTGAATTTAAACAAAAACTAGTGTGCGTGCTCATTACAAAACAGATTCTAGTGCGCATGCTCATTATAAAACAGATACTAGTGCGCATCCCCATTACAAAACAGATACTAGTACGCATGCTCATTACAAACCAGATTCTAGTGCGCATGCTCATTACAAAAAGAATACTAGTGCGCATGCTCATTACAAACCAGATTCTAGTGCGCATGCTCATTACAAAACAGATACTAGTGCGCATGCTCATTACAAAACAGATACTAGTGCGCATGCTCATTACAAAACAGATACTAGTGCGCATGCTCATTACAAAACAGATGCTAGTGCGCATGCTCATTACAAAACAGATACTNGTGCGCATGCTCATTACAAAACAGATACTAGTGCGCATGCTCATTACAAAACAGATGCTAGTGCGCATGCTCATTACAAAACAGATACTTGTGCGCATGCTCATTACAAAACAGATACTAGTGCGCATGCTCATTACAAAACAGATACTAGTGCGCGTGCTCATTACAAAACAGAAATTAACGTTCATGCTCCTTACAAAATAGTGTAATATAATTGTTAATCCAAAATTACAAAACAGATGCTAGTGCGCATGCTCATTACAAAACAGATACACCTCGTGAATCCACACTACTTTGACAATGTGATGACGAAATTTATCGTCAATAAGAGGACAGACACATAAAAAGCTAAAATGTCTATTTGTTAAGTTGAATATACCAAAGAATGTTTTTACCTTTTATGGCGAATGACAATAGCATAACGAACATATAGGTCTCAGAATAGTGGCAAAAAATACGCAACCTTTATTGTCTATCTCTAGATAATTGAAATTGAACTAAGCACCTGTTCTTTGGACTTCCTGAGTTGGTTAATTTATCACTATTCGGTCGCTCATATTTGCAGTCTTGCACCTTAAATTAACGGTACAATTCATAACGATTTTCATGTATTAGAATGCCTTTACCACTGGTAAGTAATTATTTTTAAGAATCATGAATGACTTGGCTTTTAATATCAATCGGCTTCGTGTATGTTCGTTTTATTTCCTGTTTTCCCAGAATCCAAACTGATGATATTGTTAAAATTTGGATCTTTTCTTGGTGTTGCAAGGCATCAACACAATAAAACAATATTCAAAGATAACGAATTTGAAGCAAAACAATACCCTGTAAAAAAAACTAACCCAAAATATAATAAAGCTTGCTACACCAAGAAAGATCCTAAAAGTACCACTATTTATTCGTGGGTAAGGTAATGGCTTTTGATTTTAAATTCAACTTCCTGAGAAAGTAATTTCAAAAATTCAATTTTTCGAATGACCATTCTACTATTCATTTCCTGTGCCGCACTACCAGAAAAATGCATTTTTCTTTACGCACCTACTCCTTTTGATTTTAAGTATTCGAAAATGTACTACAATTTTCAAAAAGATTATATTTTAACACAGTGGAAATCATTGACAAAAACTCAACTTGGTTGTCACTCAGTTGCAACACTTCGAGAAAAGTCTCATTGGAGGTAATCTTAGTAAGTAATTTGTCCAATTTTTAATTTGACAATGATTCAAAAATGTAGAAGTCTTGAAGTACATGTTTTCAATACAGTACGTGAAAACGGATATTTGAAATAAAGGAAAACTATAAATATCTTAAATTCTTCCATCGTTTTCCGGACATTCACTGGACCACATGATATCCTACACGAAATCTAGGCTAACCCTGAGCAACATAAACTCAAAACTGGAGTATTTCATAGGATAAGTAAGTTTGTATTAGGGAAGGAGGAACGCTTTTTGTKGGGGGAGGGGGGGGGGGCKGGGCCAGGCTTCAGAGGGGAGGGTCATGAGTAAAATGTGTACTTTTGTTAGATAAAACCTTTTTAGCTTTTCAGCTATTTTAGGTAGCTGTGCTCGTGTTTTTGCAATTTTGAATTTATGTTTCATGTAATTCTTTCCTCCCTGAGTGCAAAAAAAAATATTGTTGTTGTTGTTGTTGTTTTATTTTGACATCATTTAGTTCTGTGTAGGGCTGCTTTAGGGGGCATATTTTGAAGATGACGTATACATTTTTATACACAATAAAATGGTGATGTGTCAATAGAAATATCACGTCATTTAACTCTTAGCTAATCAGAGACAATATAAAAAAGACAGGCATTAAGACTAATCTTTTGTTTTAACGCTAATAATTTTGAGGGCCACTAGTTTATTAGTTATTTTGTAACTATTCCGTGCTACCCTCTTTGAATAAAGAGTTTATTACAATTATTATTATTATCATTATTATTATTATTATTATTACTGTTGTTGTTGTTGTTGTTTTTGTTTTTGTTATGATGATAATGATGATGATGATTATTATTATTGTTATTATCATTACTATTATCATTATTAATCGTGGCCGTGGAGGACACAAAGTATGCGTACGGCAGCCATGTTAGATGGCAGAACAAGAAAATCATATTTAATGAGGCCAAAGGGATTCTATTGTTCTGCCATCTAACCACAGACAGTCTAAGCTGTATAATGGGCGTGGGCACGTGATGGTGCAGGACCTTTTTAGCCACCAAAAAAAGGCGATAGGAAGAAGCGATAGACAATAAGCGATAGTGAGGAGCTACGAGATATATTGAAACTATCATCCAGTGTCAGAAATCGAACTCCAAAACAATAGAATCTCTTTGAAATCTAAACCAATTCAATGACGTCAAATGTTAATCAACAAAATGTACATAATGATGAAAATCTCTTGAAGTGATAAAAAGTGTTAACAAATCTTTCATCATCAATATCAAAGATCTGTCGTAATCGTATACACATCTTTGATGTTAAAATGTACCGAGGGAGAAGCCAAAATATTAAAATTCATGACATATTCTAATCAAAAAAGTTGAAGCTATTTGTTTTTAAGACATTTGGCCTAAGGGACCAATTTTCGATCAATATTAGTTTAGGTATAGATTAGTCGAATAGATTGTAGTCTCAGACTAATTATATTTGAAAGTTGAGCCTTGAAGCGAGAAAGACTAAAAAACCAAAGGTGAGTTGTCAAAGATACTTCTTTTAAAAAACATTTTTACTTATGCTAAAAATATATATACACCTATTTCAATAAACGTTGCCATCGCCAAATACTTGACTTCCGTCAGAATATCATAGTCAAAGCTCTAATTTCATGAATTTTACTTTTGAGAAAATACTGGCAAGAAAACATTTTCAACAATATATCTTTTTTGACTTTATATTTCACACATGGCGACAGAACTTTCTTAGTCTGAACTTCTTAGAAAATGGTATTACTGAAAAAGCCCTTGGGTTAATAAAATCAAATAAAACCAAAATCTAGTTTTGAAATCCTTGTGCACATAAAGTTAAGATTACGTAGAATTTTTCCGAGAAACTTCAAAAGTTTTTTTCCATAAAAGTGCGGTTTCAGTTTTAGGTGCAGTCTATTTTCTCAACGATGTGAAAAAAGATAAGAATACTGAACTTATCATAACTTTCCATTGGTCAAACAATTTTGGCTTTGCTGCCGATCGTTTTATCACTTTGAAAGCCGACAACAAATAACCAATTGTTTATCGAAGTACTAGTTATTGTATTTTCTAGTGTCTAATTCAAATACTGCAGATACCTTATGTAAACATACAGACGAATATGCACAAAAGTCTGAAATATCTATCTAATATATATACTTAATTCCATTCCCCCCCTTCCCCCCCAAACCTAACGCGTTAAATTGATACGACCCGTAAGGTAGTGACTGCGCGAAGCCAAACGTAAGTGTGGATTCAGGGTTCATTCTCTGAGTAAACTGTACCGTTGCTGCCCTGGCTTCAGCCTAGATGTTGTGTTAGGGTTCAAATGTTCCGGCATGAAAGCACTTAAAATTTATGAAACTAATAAAATCTTTTGTACACAATATGTTTTTTTCATAACAGTAAGCAATAAAAAAACTTTTTTGTTGACAAAAGCATTAATTTTACTACATAAAAAACCTAATTTAAAAAAAAAAACTCACTCCGTTTATTTCATCTTGCATTACAGATGTGACTTTAGCAAAATGGAGCACATTAAGAAGAAAATATTTTGCTTAATTTGTGCAATCGTCCTGACTTCAATAACCGCAGAAATGGGAAGATCTTCGCCTGACATTGTTGGTAAATTAATTTTTTTGCCTTAATTGACAGGGTACCTAAATTTTGGGAAATATAATGAGGGTTCGCCATGCAAGGGTTATAGAAAGGATATGCATTTTGTCGTTAAGTTTAGAAGGGTGGCGGTTCTTGATTTAGAAAAGTAGGTTTTTGAGAGGAGAGGACTTGGGATTTTGCATTGCTTTTATCTTTAGATACTGGAAAAAGTAATTATGAGATTTTCAATTTTTTACTAACTTGGCAGCCTTGGCATCATACTTTGATTCGTGTGTGTCTTAATAATAATTAGCCAAACAATTCATGCTTATCCTTAATGTTATACCTCACGCTTCTGTTTTTGGTGTCGATTAACAGATCAATGCAGTTGCAGCTTTGACGCTGGAAATCTATGCAACTGGTCACACGACACGACCATGTCACTTCTGTGGAGCTATTCGGCTAATGTTACTACAACTAAAATGACTAGTCCTTCCAAGTATTCAGGTATGCTTTAAAACATGTTGTTACAGTCAAAACGGTTCAAGGTAATCCCCCCCCTTCCCTCACAGGTTGCATTAATAGATTCATTATTCGGATATTTCAATTATTATTATTTCTCTCAGAATACGAAGACTTGGGACTCAAAATAATAGCCGATTCAAAACTCGAATACTTATTTATTGGCCACGGATCATAGTGTTCCTAATGTGAATACATTTAAGTCAGCGTCGGTGTGACGTCATTTTACTACCGCTACCAAAATGCTAGGTGAATTTTTTTCTTACTAAAATTTGCATACTCTCATGCGAATAGTAACTAAGACAATTCTTGTATAATTAAGGTATTAGGATACGAAAAATGACGAATTGCTCGTAATTTTAAACTTTTATCTTTCATATGTTTGTGAAACTTCTTGCAATTTTTTATTGGAAAAGCCAAAATTTTGAGAAAAATCGAAATCGTGACTTTATCAATACCGGAAATGTACCATCGCTTAATATATGCACATCTGTCATGCTCCTTTGTCATTGTAAAAAGATCCTACATTGCGATCGTCCAGAACACCAGATAATTTGACAAGTGATGACAAAATGGAAGGCTCAAGGTGTTTTGGCCAACACCATCCTGGCTCCCTGCAGCTTCCGGCTCCAAACAAAGAAATGTTTTTTTCTCGAATCTTTTTTGTCGCTAAAACCTCAACTTCAAAAAGCTAAAAGTCCCTTGGATTTCATTTGATTTTTTTTWAAATTTGGAGAGTTTATAAAGTAACTCATGATCCAAAAAAGGGTGTCTCCGAATTTTGAAATTTAATTTCTTTCCAAAGTTATGACGCTTTTTACTCTAAACAACACTCCAAAAGCGATCGCTGAAATTTGATCAAAAATAGCGAGAGATAGGAAACAGAGATCAAAAATCTGGGACACCCTTTTTGAGCTTATTATCTCCTGAGTATGTTAAGCCATTTTTCGCAAACATAGCTTATTAAAGTGTATATCAGGTCTAGAATTTTTTTACGGTTTTGGCATCTCTAGATGATATAAATAAATATTCCAAAAAAAATTGTTCGATTTCGAATTTTTTTCACCTCGAAATCAGCCTTCAAAGTTAGATTTCTGGCGACGCCCAGTCGTGTTGGCCGTGTTTTAGGAGACTGGTAACTAGTGACGTAAATTCGAGAACCGAGAAAAGCGATTGTCAAGGATACGAGTAGACAAAGTATTGTAAACATTG